CATATCCATCCAGACATGTGGCCATCTGCTGCACAGCTCATGAAACGGGTATTGATGGTACCTCCAAAACATTTTACCGTCGAGGTTTGTCTAAGTAACGTAAGATTTACAATTAACGATTGAAATAATTAGATTTCTTCAGTATAATATAAATCCATGGANCTGCTTTACATTATAGGGGGTATGTACAGTACTACTGTAGTACATACTGTACATATGGGTTTTTTATAACAAATGTATTTTATTTACTGAAAAATCAAACTGCTTGTGTTGAAGATGGGCTTCGGAGAACTCTGAACTTCAGGGTCGTCTAGGATTCCGATCAAGTAATCTCCTTTCATTTTGTTGCATGTGGACTACGGTAGGGTTACATAAGTGGGGTAACCTCACTATCATTTCTGTAAAATATCGTTCAAAATAAAATAAAAAACAATGAAATAGAATCCAATTTTAGTCAGTCTCCTAATACCCGATAATTTCTTATCGATTCTCCTCACTACGGTAATACTTGGAACCCTTACAAAATACTTTATCAGAATAACTTCTCTCGCACTCGTTGTATCAAAATGTCCTTGTATTCCCTTCGTCCAACTCTTTTTGCACTGATCTGACTCTGAGACTTCACAATCTCACTTTTAGTAGAAGTCGAGAGGCTGTGACTTGAGCAGTTCACCAATCTTTGGCTACCGGACTTGAATAAAGCGAGCGTCTGACTGAAGAATCTCTTCGAATTCCTTCTGGCCTTTCTCCAGTAGCCTTTGAATCCATACCACCTGATTTTGAATAGTTTCAGAAGCATTCCAAAGACATATCCATCCAGACATGTGGCCATCTGCTGCACAGCTTATGAAACGGGTATTGATGGTACCTCCGAAACATTTTACCGTCGAGGTTTGTCTAAGCAGTATAAGATTTATGATCAGTGATTGGAATAATTAGATTTCTTCAGTATAATATAAATCCATGGATGGGAGGAGTTGTCGATAAGGCAAAGGCGTATACCCAATGGAAAGCGCTAAAATCGGCTATCGAGAAAGAAGGAGTAGAGGTGAGTGGGGAGGAGGTTGATGGTTTAACTACATTACTTGTAACCAAAACATTTACTTTTAACCACGATTTATCTCTAGATTCGATTTCGACAGTTACACTTTAGGTGTTAACGATGGAACAGGCACCTGACCTTCCCGATCAGGTTTTCGTTTGTAATTCTGGTCTCGTCTACAATGATAAGGTGTATCTCAGCAAATTCCGACACAAAGAAAGGTGAAGGTGTTTGAAACAAAAAACCTTAGACTGTTTGGCTACCAACCGAGCGAACTTGGATAAAAGTATGTTGGAAGTGGTTTGAGTCTACCTCAAACATGAATTCTACCTCCGCCCACCGGGCCTGGCTCTAGTCTGTCAGCTTTTTAGATCGACTCCAGGTGCCTCCTCCCTCCAGTTTCTTCCCATCAGACATGGGACTTCAAATCAAGAAGATCTAATTGTTTAGTAACGGAATGAAGTCAACTATGGCAGTCATGAGATCGACGAATGTCTTAACTGGGTATGGTCATTAAGTCAGGGAAGAAAGTTTACAAATGAGATTGAGTAAAGGGAGATTGAGGCCTATCTGACGCTTGCAGTAGTCCCCCCTGTCCTGCAGTCCATGAAATCACTTGCATAACTTGTAACTCCAAGACATGCTCAAGTTCAGAGCCTTGTAAAGATATAGGTAAATAAATAAATAAATAAATAAATAAATAAAAACAAGTTGAAATTACAAGCGTTCCTTTATAGAACAGGAGAACAAAAGCACTATTTGCAATGGTTCAAAGCCCATGGATACCAAACACTCGGCGAAGACTACCCGGAATACTTCGAAGGAGGCGGTGACGCGGTATTCTCTGATCAGAAGACGTTATGGGCAGGATTCGGTCACCGATCAGCCGAAGAGGTCTGTTACCTATTCAATATCCATTTATGGCCCAAGAAGTACCACTAATTTTCAGGTATACGAGAAAGTAAAGGAATTGGGCCACTTTGATGTTGTCATCTGCAAGCTGATTCATCCTAACTTCTATCACTTGGATACATGTTTCGCCCCTGTGGATCAGACAACTGCCCTTTGGTATCCACCAGCATTTTCTGAGGATACCAAGAAAGAAGTGAGTCGATTCCGATACTGTTCATGGAAGTAAAAACAAGTATTTCGAGTAACTCTGGCTGCTCCATTCTTGATGAGTTATGTGGAATAGGCCATAATTAGCCTCTCGGATATGTATTCAAGTGTTCAACTTGTGTTTCACACTCCCAAGTGGGAATAGTTTTGTGGGGAAGATCGCAGTTGAGGATCCATCGTAAATGTCGACACTTACGGAGTGTATAGAATCAATAACAATCAGCTCTTCATCAAGTATCAAGTACCATAGCTAGGAGTAATGATAAGCATGGGTTTTCATCATAGCAACGCGTTGCGACCGCTCGCGGCAGCTCCAGTTCGGCTCTGACTGGTGACTAAGCAACCAATTAATCAAACGATCGATCGAACGACCACCTTGACTTGCGTTTACGTTCATTAAGCACTTTGCTGTTCAGATATTACGACGTATGCCGGATTCTATCGCAATTTCGGATGCTGAAGCAAATGCATTTGTATGTAATGCGATTACTGTACGAGATACCGTACTATCGCCAATTGGTATGGAACAAGCAACACGAAATGCTCTAGCTCAACGTAAAAAGGCTGTCATCGATATGGATATGAGCGAATTTATGAAAAGCGGTGGTGCCTGTCAATGTCTTGTGCTTCGATTATAGATTGGCTATATAGAGTCTTATATTGATTGGATATTTTGACAAATATTTTGTCCAACACAAGGTGATATGATTGATTTCCTACGTATGTACCATAACGTATAACGTACCCTGCATAAGTGACTATAAAATAATTGCAATAAAAATATTTTTTTCACACAATTGAGTCATCGAAAATATATTTCTTCACCCAATCAATTTCACATTTGATCATGCAGGACTGTGTTTTGTAAAAATTTCTAGACTATTCAGATGCATTTTAGGCAACGCTCGAAACTGCACTAGATAATCGAACTGGAAAAATAAAAAGAATAGAGTCACGTTCATTTTTTAGTCTCGTGGAACGATGTCGGATAATGGTGACCGACAGTACTGTAAGTCAGCCAAATGAAGGAATTCTCAGTTTTTTTGTTTCATGTCTCACATTTACTTATTTACTCACTAACTTTAGCGTCGACCCATGATCCATCTAAATCTAAGGTTTTTATGGAAATAACAGTCGGGCCGCCCTGCTAACGCCGGGCTTCCCTCCTTCTTATGGGTTCGCCCGGCTACGCCGGGCGCTTCTCCTTCCTGTGAAAAATTTGCTATGCGTAAATAACACTTTGGGTTCTCCTTTTTCATTGGAAGCTCTACACCCTCAGTATTAGCTCCGCATCTA